AAATTTCTTCATTTTCCTTGTTTAGAATCAGAGGTGCTAGTTTCAAATACTTTTTAGTCTTAAATCTGTATGCTAGATATTGAATAAGGTGGTTTTATTGTTTTTTGTCACTTTGAATAATATTTCTGTTCATGTTAAAAACAAAATCAACACTCTGTATGAATATATCAGGTGACCGTTAAGGCCCATGGGCCTCTTGTTATATTTTGTAAGTACAAGGAAGAAGTAAATATATATACTTATAAACCGTATGAATGATGATTGACGGACGTGGCTCAGAGACGAGACGATATGTGAACTGACTGTATGCTATTTCTTGTGTATTTATTTATGAAAATATAACAATTTAAGAACATGACACAACTGCCGCTGCTGTTTGACAAGAATTTGCACTGTGTCAAAATATTATCCAATCCGGTGTAAGGGAAATAACTCTTAGGTTGGTAAAGTCGCATTGAGAAATATAATTCCAGAATATGTGTGAGATTTTGTGATGAATTGTGTGTTCAATGACAGTAAATTAAGTCACCACATATATAAATAATTATTATTAATATGAATAAAAAATAAATAAAAATAAAAGGAGTACAATGTCTCTTTTCTCCATGCATGTTTTCCCACTACTGTTAATTATCCTTCATTTCACAAGCACACAATGCACCTATTCTTTATTACCCATTCACCGATTGCCATTCTGCGCGTAAATGCTCATGTCACATCATTGAAGGGTGCTAATTAATGAAAATTACAACAAGGCATCACAAAAGAGGGTGAAAAAAGAGGAGAGGGAGAAATGTTTTTAAGGCATCTTTTAAGATGTGATTGATTTTGAAAATTCCAAAGGCAACATCATCACATGACCTGATTTTCAATTAGCAGAATACAGAACACATATCTGAGGTATTATAGTAGATATTGATGCTCAACATGTTACTGAAGCTATTCAATTTAAAGTGGTGAGCGGCTTTAATGTCACACTGACATAATTCTAGTTTCTGATTAATTTTCAAAATAGTAAATGACTGTTCATGGTTGAAATGCATACTCTTTCATCTTAGTGATGATATTAAAATCAACTTGCTTCAAAACCTATTCACATCTTATAGAATATAAACATATTTGAAAGCAACTAGGTTTCATATCATCATAAATGATAGCAATCTGTATTATAATCCATATACATGTATTTACATTCAAAATAGTAAACAAATTATTTTTATCTTTCGAGTGCTTTGTTATAGTTCATGATTAATTGTAAACAAATTGATAAGCCAAATGGCGGAACACTCATTTTTTGGGGCCAAGTAATGTTTCTGTCATCACCATTTTATTTGGTTCACAAATGTCAATTGAAAACAATTTGAGAACTTCCATCCGAGTTTGAAATTTATGTCACAGCAAAATAGATACCTTGATTAGGGTCTTTAGAATTAGTATGAATACAAGTAAGGTATTTATTTTGTCGAAGTTTGTTTTTATTGAACAAAACAGAAGGCATAAACCTTGAATGGACCATATTTTTATAGTGTAAAACAAAAGACTTACTTTTGAGTTTGAAATATAACTTCTGATAGTGTTAGTGTTAATCTTTTGCATATAACATATATGCTGCATGGCTAGGCATTCTAAGCAACATCATTGTAAAACATGAACTGCTTATCACACATCTCAAGATTTTCGTGAAGAGTGATTTCTTTCCGGTGCTGACCTAATTTGGGTTGTCTCCCTTTACTAAATTACATGACAGTCCAAACAAAAGAAATGGACAGAAGCATTGTTATGAAATGGACAGAAGCATTGTTATGAAATGTCTGATACAGATTGCTGGTCCAGCAGACTAAGATTTGATCATGAGCACCAAATCATTTCAGGCGATACATGTGAAGAATGGTGAAGATGTGGTGATCCAAGGTCTATATGCTTGTGGAGAAGCAGCTTGCGCTTCCGTTCACGGGGCCAACCGTCTTGGTGCAAACTCCCTCCTCGATCTGGTCGTCTTTGGCCGTGCATGCGCCAACACCATCAAGGAAGAGAATCGACCAGGCGAAGCCATTGGTAACATAAAAGATGTAAGTAGCAATGATGCAATCAGTCAAAGAATTTTTATTTGACCCGTAGAATTTCTGAAAATACTGAAATTTAATATGGTGGGACCCATATGTTTTATCATACAGTGGAAAAAGACCCAAACAAACTAATTGTAGGTTGATCACTGAGTCATGATGATTTTTTTTAACTACTAAAACATACCTAGATTGTCATGTTTTTAAGCATGGAACTGTATTGATATGGCATTTACAGCCTATATGAATGACACATCTTTTCGGGCAAACATAGTGTGCACTATCACACTATGGTTTATTTGCTTGCAATGATAGGATATGGGAAGGATGTCCATATACAACATTCCTGCATATGACAGTCTCTGTAAGGTATTATGTGTTGTGATATTTGTAAACATCAGTTTTGTGAGAAAAAAGGGTTTAATATATATATTTCTCTCTCCCAATGATATTTCATAATAAATGGACTGTATACTAAATAAAACATGGTCCAGAAATTTGCCTTTCACTTGTTTAACCCATATTTGACTTATGTTACAGAAGGTGAAAAAGGCTCAAGTAAACTGCGGTGAAATTACCTTGTTTGAAATTTGACACTCACTTTTCTGTAGTACAAGTTTCGTTTAGATTTAATCATGATGCAAGGATGAAAGTAACTGATTTTAACATTCAATGTAGAACGCTGGAGAGGAATCGATAGCCAACTTAGACAAGCTCAGACACGCCAATGGAAGTACACCTACAGCTGACCTGAGGCTTAAGATGCAAAAGGTACGATACTGAAAACCTTAGACCTGAATCTGTGTGATGCATGATGTCAGAATTCAGGTTTTATCCGATTAATTTCCAAATGTTTCATTATTAGTGCAGAACTGCTAACTCTACGATTTAAGAGTAATAATTACAATTTTTAGGTCTGAAATACCCCTTTAAGATTTTACTAGTAAAATTATGAATTTTAAAATTCCACAATTTTTCTATTTTGTTTGTTAGTTTTACTGTAATATGGCATTGATGTCCGTTATCAGTATTATAATCATAATCACACGTGAGCTAATTCTTCAAGGTGGAATAGACAAGAGCAAAGCTTTGAATTGAATGAAAAACCTTGTTTCTAGAAAGGAAAATAGCTGAAAAATGTGTTAATTTTGAGAACAAATTAGAAATTGTTTGTCAAGTGGTTTAAAAAGGAGTATTTGAAAAAGTTTTCAAAAGAAACAACATATGCATGATGTATTAGATGCTGTTGTGATTTATCACGGTTTAAAAAATGAAAAGACAAACTGATAAACCAGAATCATAAAATCATTTAATGTTGGATTTCTGAAGATGGATTCTTTCTTCATAAAAATTAGTCTAAAACCAGGATAATTCTGTGTAATCGCTGAAAGTTTGTTGTCCGAGTCTTGATGACGATATTTTAATCTTGAAAGTTGGCAGCTTTGTCAGCGTACTAAATTCTATCTGTAGTTATCATTCATCGAGAACCTTTAATTTGAGACGTCCAAAGATGGATTCTTTCATCATAAAAATTAGGCTAAAACCGGGATAAATCTGTGGAATTGCTGAAAGTGTGTTGCCTGAGTCTTGATAACGATTATTAAATCTTGGAAGTTGGCAGCTCTGTCAGCGTACTAAATTCTATCTGTACTTATCATTCATTGAGAACCTACAATTTGAGACTCCAAGATCTGCGAGCTATCTCTCTTTAATATATTGCTGGAATCTGATGATCATGTTATGATAAGTGGTCTTTCTTATAATTAACACAGGTGATGCAGAACAACGCTGCTGTGTTCCGTGATGGCCCCATCCTTAAGGAAGGAGTGGAGAAAATGGATGTTCTCTTTAAAGAAATGGAAGACATCAAGGTACTAATCGCAAACTACAAACATTTATAAACTGTAATTATATATTTTTTTAAATTGTGTATGTGTGATTTGACGTAATTAAGTATTGAATGATTTGACCCATATAAGAACTGCAGGGATTTTATGTAATTAAGAATTGAATGATTTGACCTATACAAGAACTGCAGGGATTTTATGTAATAAAGAATTGAATGATTTGACCTATACAAGAACTGCTGGGATTTGACAGAATTAAGAATTGGATGGGTATGTAAATTGCCCTACTTTTGTTATTTAGGTGTCAGACCGTGGTATGGTGTGGAATACTGACCTGGTCGAGACCCTGGAGCTACAGAATCTGATGCTGAATGGTATGCAGACCATTGTCTCTGCAGAGGCAAGGAAAGAAAGCCGGGGAGCTCATGCTAGAGAAGACTTCAAGGTAATGAGTTGGTTGTAACTTTGTTTCACATCTGTTTTTATGCATTAAGGATTTTATGGATCAAGTCAATTTAAGGTACCGGTAAACACCAGTTTAGAATGGTAAAAATTAAGCTGATAAAGTCTACCTCCAAATTAGTAAGACTTTCCATTTACCCTAAGATAGTTATTTTGGAAATTCTAGTTTCGATTATGATTAGGGTCTAGGATATACCAGAGTTATAATCTGGATGCATCACGTATAATACCCAAAATACTAGTAAAAAATTATTGCATATGATATCCAAAGTTCTGATTTAGATGTATAACTTACACTATCAACAAACCTATTTTAGTGCACTCAAATTTTAGCGCAATATCAAATTTTGATAGGAATAGGGCATTTATGAATTGGCACAGCAGGAAAATATTCAATAGAGATTAGAATACAGGAACTTCAAATGGTGCATTCATAATTTGATGCACTAATTAAAATGCAAAAAGCGCAAGAAAGTTCTAGTTCAGATGCATCATGTTTGAATTTGAATACCGGTACTGTATACTTTAATACTTTACTAATTGGTATGTAAATTTGTGGTTTAGGTGGTTGTAGTGGAACTGTAAATATTATTGCAGTGAACACATGAAAATATCACTATAGAGTATAGATAATAAGACATTCAAGATCATAAGTTTTAACAACAGGTTAATATAAATATAAACTTTACTTGTTTTACAATAATTATAAAAACAAGTTATTTCAACTTTATATATTAATCACTCTTGTTGGCCAGGATGTTAGTGTGGGAGAGGGGATGGGTATTAATTTGGGAGGAAACTAGAGTACCCAGAGAAAACCCCATGTGGTCAGGTAGGTGTGGGAGGAAACTAGAGTACCCAGAGAAAACCCCATGTGGTCAGGTAGGTGTGGGAGGAAACTAGAGTACCCAGAGAAAACCCCATGTGGTCAGGTAGGTGTGGGAGGAAACTAGAGTACCCAGAGAAAACCCCATGTGGTCAGGTAGGTGTGGGAGGAAACTAGAGTACCCAGAGAAAACCCCATGTGGTCAGGTAGGTGTGGGAGGAAACTAGAGTACCCAGAGAAAACCCCATGTGATCAGGTAGGTGTGTGAGGAAACTAGAGTACCCAGAGAAAACCCCATGTGGTCAGCTAGGTGTCCCCAATACCTTACGTCTTATCGGGAAATCAAACCCTGGCGGTCTTTGAAAAAGGAAAGTGCGCCATCCACTGCGCCACCCGACCACCCTACAACAGGAAGTAAAACACCTTGCCCTCTGCAGCATGACGACTCTTCTAATTTAAAGTTATTAACAAATTTTATTTTGTTTAACAGGATAGAATTGATGAGTACGACTATAGTAAGGATGTGTCCGGACAGACCGCGAAACCTTTCAGCGAACATTGGAGGAAACACACCATGTCTTACCAAGACCATAACACCGGAAAGGTAATGAAATATTCTATAAAATGTTAAAATAATTAAATTATGCCTCCTTTAACTCATTCACCCCTGAAGATGCAACTTTGAATATCCTGTATTTTGTTGAATGATATTGAAACATCAAACAAGTTTCATGACAACAATTATGTATGCATTTATTTTAGGAATTATGTGTGCTTCAAGATGGAGAAATATTTGCTGCCTTTTAAGATCTGATAAAGATCTTATGATAAAATTTTCTGAGTTTGGATGAAAAAGATTGAGGTTAAAATTTTAAAAAATCCTTCTTTTAAATTTTCGCCATATAAAATTTTCCAACTTGAGATCAAAGCAAAAGACTGTTAAATTTTCAAAAAATCCTGTTTTAAATTTATGGTATTTCATATTAAATTGCATTGATCAAGTTGTTAGAGGAAAATAAAATAGTGCACACTATCCCCATGTGTTTAAATCTAGGATAGCCCGTGGATTGTTGTGTAGACAGAAAAGTTGGTTTTGTTTGATATTAGGTGAACAAATATTGTATTCAACAGATATCAAATTAAGTGGAATGTGTTGTTTAATCTAGAATGTATGTTTATATCAAAATTTTATGAAAATAATATTTTTTTGAAGGTCACACTGGAATACAGAGGTGTCATTGATGATACTTTGGACAAAGACAAGTGTGAAACGATTCCACCAGCAATTCGTTCTTATTAGATCTGGAGAACCTCATGTTTCAGTGAGTAAATAATGAATTATTGTTGATAAAAAAATGGTAATATGGCTTATTAATTTTACAGGATAGCAAATAATGTTACTGACCAACCATAATTCATCC